CGACAGGTCCATTCCCCCCTTTCCCCCAATATTTCCGGTTGACTTGGTATGATTCGATGTGTTTTGTATTGTAACTGATAGTAACTGATTGTATGCAGCAATATATTGTAAGTAATTAAGGTCTGACGAAGGCATTATATGCCGAAAGCTCACCAATAAAAGTGAAGAGCATAGAGCTTCGAAAAGTACACAAAACGACAAGAAGTCCAAATGAAGCTCAGAGATAGCAGTATTTTAAAAAATTCATGAGTTGTTCAAATGACGGAGGTACGACATGAGAGGTGAGATGTTGGCTTTTTTGAGATTACTGCAAGACTACTGAACTACAAACGAAAGAAGTATTCAATGTGTCTTTCAACAAAGTTATGGAAACTACGAGACTGAGGCCCGTTTAAGATGTTCGAAAGAACAAGTATTGAGTTAATTAAACAAGTATTGTGTATCTTAGAAGCCCTAAAGGCCTCTTGGTTCACTTCTGCTTTGAAGGCATCTAGGAGAACAACTTGAGTGACCTTCGATCACTGTTCGTATGAAGTCGGCTCAGGCTGCGCTACTATGTTCAAGGCTCCCATTCGCTTTCCAGGCTTTTGAACCCATCATACTCGCACTTTTCCGTACCTCTCTGACGTGAATGCAGGTGCTTTGCACTGATTCGGGTTCGAAATCCCCTGGAACAGATGCTTTTTTCTCAGTAAATCTTATATCAGTCTATGTGCTACAGGTTCGGATGCTTTCCGGAACAGCTTTTCTATTTGGATAACGTGTTTTACCTAATTTTCACTACAGATTCGAAAAGGGAATCCGTTGCCTCTGAAACTATTGAAATTTTCCAGCCTATTGTCAATAAGTTGACATGCAAAAGGGCTAGCTGGAAGGCACAGTTCAGGCTGGTTCCGGGTTCCCTTTATGAGTTGAAAAGCGGAAATAATTGTAGGGAACAGTATATCGCTAGCGAAGAAAATCTGAAAGTCTACACAATCCATGAAATCTAGTGCTTCCAAAAGTACTGAAAATAGAGAAAAAATATACGAAGGTATCATGATGGTTAAGGGTCTCAGTACGAGATGTGTATTTGCGTGAGAAGCTTGCTACAATTAGCCAAAAAATGCAAAAATTGTTACCCAGTTCGCCATGGGTTATCACTGGTTGTTTAAGGTTTCAACAAGTGTGCTCTAACGTGAATGGTGCCACCTCTACAACGCCGCTGAAACACGTCCTCGTATAGGCGGTAGCATCGACTATACCGTACCATTAGCCCTTGTTGTAACTGTTGTAGCCATTCTTGACTCGATAGCGTCTCATATGACTAATTGGAAGCCACAAGTTCGTTATAATTGTATATCTCTAGAATCTTCTTGTCTTGAAACCTACTTTTAGGTTGATAAATGACATCAATCCCTGAGAAATTGTCATTGACGGTAATTGCGAGTGTGTTCTAGGTAGTAATTAGTTGTCTGAAAGCATTTATAGACAACGCTGTATTAGGCTCAAGTTTAGATGACAAAGCAAGAGGCTGCATGGGTGAAATTCCAGAGGGACGTGTTTTCGCATGACCGACAATGGGATGACACTGCTGCAGAGGTGTTAGACTCTGGATCAGTTACCGAAAATAGAAATTTCATGTGCCTTTACAATTTTGAAGACTATTCATCATCGTCACCACAACCCAAACTAGTATGAGGCTGACGTAGTTGTTTTGTGCTACTGAATACTACTGATTAATTTTTCCAAAAGGGGTGCGACTTCCAATTTTGCAGTTTCTCTTCCATAGATGTTCTTCGTGAAACTCGGCCTCCACCACTTGCAAGCCGACGGCCATTTCCTTTCAAAAAACCTGCATACTGTTGCGAAAGTTCTCGTTCCCTAGGAACCTTGCCACCCTGGAAATTACCGAAGGTAACCGCGCCTCGGAAAAGCACACCTTTAAAGGCACAGTTCACGATAAAAGTGGTTTCTGAGGTTTAGCCGTAGGGTGAATTTGAGACACCCTTACCATACCTGGCGCTACTAGGTGGAAGAACGGCCTATTCAGGGAGTCATATAGGCTCAAAGGCTGCACCGTGTGGAACCTTGGACGAGTTTCATCGGCATCGTAGAGGCTGCACCGCTCACAAGGGGGACCATGCAGGGATTTCAAACAACTTGTCATGACCCTCAGCGACACTGAAAGGCGCTTCTGTGCACCCCTGGCTTGATGTATACAGCTCTTTACGCAATTGCAACAACTGAAATCTCGTCCGAATACCCCTCCATTATTTCTGCCATGGTAACCACGCCCAAGCTCTATGTTCTCTACTCTTAAGGAGCCATACTTTTCTCGAAATCAGCGAGTTCTCTCGCTTTCTTTACTACCGGTGTACTACCCATCCCATACTTCCGCTATTCAAATAGAAACGGGTACCTCAAAATTGTCGCGAATTGTGCATTTAACACTGTTTACCATGCATCCTTGAGACTCGTCAAGTTAATTAAAATATTTATTTAAAATAGAAATTCTTGTACAGGAAAGAAATCTCGAAAATCACGTGACCGCTTTATTTCCTCTTGGGAGCAGGCATAATCGGAATGTTTCTTGTTTTGGTGTGTTGACCGGTCTTTGGAGCTTCCACAGAGAGGTGGCCATTGTTGTCAATTTGGGTATGTACAGCATCTAGATCACAGTCTTCGGGAAGAGCCCATCTGTGGACGAAGTTCCTGAAAAGGATTCGTTCGGCTGAACGTGAAGACTAAGCGGACCCTAATTTCGACCACTCAAGCATTACTTACTTCTCAATGTAACCATGTTCGGTCTTCACTTCTTGATGGCCTTCAATGGTGAGGTCACGCCCCTCTAGCTGCACTTTCAGCTCCTCTGGCCTGAAGTGTGATACATCCAAGGCGACGGCAAACTTCTTATCGTCGTTGACAAGCTGAAACATCCATGCTCACGTCCCTCAATCCGATTACTAAATCACTTTGCTTATTTACCTCCTTGGTTTGGTTTCCTACGTGCAGCATCGAGTGATCGGCGTTCCTCCAGTACGGCATGATCTGACGGCTCATCCAGTCCATATCACGCATTGGATTGAAACGTTCCATTCGTCTGAAGGGTTCTTCCATCATGCGCTCAAGACGGTCAACGGGCCACAGAGCCATTATTCTGGTTAGTTGCTCTGAAAGGACGGATCATAGCATACAATATCCCTACTGCAGTACGGCTCAACATGAACACCTGACAGGTAATACGGCGATTGTCAACTGCTACCGTTACTGCTCCAAAAAATAACAGTAATATTACGAGAATGAAGTTTCATTCCATCCAAATCTAGGGAGTTCGTCAACCAGAGGATCATCAAGTTTTGCCGAAAAAAGGAACGGTCGGTTCTGAAGTTCGAGCGAGGAAATACTACCAAGTAGGAATGATGACAAGTTACGTAAGAAAACCAGGATAAACTAGAACGACTGAAGTTCTTCTAAAGCGAAAGAAGATTAGATTGCAAGTATAGAAGTTGAAAATAGCGGATTTAATGCTGCGTTTCTGTGAGCAACCCTTTTATACCCACGACTCGGGCTCCTAGACCCCTTTTGGCGGGAAATTTTTGACCTAGAAACTCACAGTGAATTTCTTGAACCTAGCCGGAACGGTGGGAATGACATGGATTACTTACGGATTACGGGTCCTACAGAAGTAAGGTTCAATACGATAAACAAACTTACAATTTTATTACTCCTTATTAGGAGGCATAAAGCGCCTTTGCAATTTTGAGAATATTGAAGATCATTTAGCTGGCAGTGAATCTCCCGCCGACAGTCGATCCGTCGGATCACAAGATCGCGCAAGCAAAAGTAGATCAAAAACTACTTACAGCTTAGTTTTTCATTTTTCTTCGGTGTCGAAAACTTCACTCATGTCTGAAATTTATCATAAATGAGTTTCATTTTCATTGCTCCAAAAGGGACGTCCATGTTTAGCTTTTTTTGGAGTTCTGGTTGTGAGCGAAGCTGCTATCAGCATGCTAGTTGCAATTTTCCAACAGACAAGGATGTTACTTTCAAAGTAACATGCTTAATTCTCCAATTAAAACCTCAAAAAATCCGTGAGTAGGATCACTTTCGCATATTACTGTGGTCCTGGTTCCTAGATGGTATTGTACCTTCGTGTCTTTAGCAACTTTTCGGTTACTCTTACTGATGAATACTACCTCTTTGCTTTGTAAAGTAATTGTATGCTCATGTTCATTCGACAGTTCATTGTGAAAGCCTTAAATTTTCCGTTATAGGCAAAGCGTCTTCTGAGCCGTTCTGTTCCTACCACCTGCCAGATGAGCTCTTCAGCCCATCAGATCGTTTCGGTGCCGTACTTGTACTGCAATCCTATTACTTGACGTACACTACGATCCGATCTTTCAAGGAATTCAGCTGATCGAAATACGGGTTCCAGGCCCGTTGACCGCTTCAAACACAGGGGGGGGGGGAACAACTCGATCGTTTCGGCCCAGTCAGTCATATTGATTGGACAAGTTACAAGATTACGGAGTATCTGAGAAAGTGGCTAACAACTCATGCTTTTAAATAGAAAATAAGTCGGTGAATCAAGAAGACAGAAGACGGATGAGCTACCTTCTACGAGCTCTAGTTCAAGTAATGGCGCTAGGAAGTTCATCGTCTCTTTGTAGGAAATGCTGTTCAAGCCTAGAGAACAGAGAATGCATGGGGAAAGTAACAGTCATACAATCACGGTATTTAGAAGGAGCAGATTTCTTGATGAAATGTAAGTAAATCGTGGTTTAGTGCTAACTCTTCAATCTTCAAAATAGCTCATTTTTAGGAACCTCTCTATCGGTGGACTCTTCTTGAGGGCGATTGTTACTCCCCACACCCAGGCTGACATAAGATGGTTACTGCTCCGATGAGGCTCTAAAGACTGGTGCGCACATCGATGCAAGAACCAGTCCGAGTTCTAACTTGAATGAATTTGTGACAAATCCATATATTTCCTCTGGCCCTTGTTAATATTCACCTATTGCTCCTAATTGAAAGTCGTATGGACTCCGAACCTGAGTGTTTCCTGCCTTGCAATCTGATGCATTTTACAGGCTTGATGTTATCGCCATCTCATACCAAATTTCAAATTTGACGGCCATTATGGTACAGTGACGTAGGCCGGAATCCGGGGGGAACGTTCGTTGCGCGCGTCCGTCGAAAGTAGGTCACCCCGCCCAATTCGCGCACGGCGCACCCCTTTGAGGTTTCGAGATGACATTGCACACTGCACTTCCACCAGGTGTCAGTGGAGCGAATAATTTGCATTTGTACGTGTCATCTTGTCTTTGGCTGACTGGCGTGGACCAAGCGCCAGTGGTATGCCTCGCGGACAAATGCGACGTCTGTCAAGTATTGCAGGTTGACCCACCGCATGCGACAGCTGCGGCGTGGAGGACGTGCGATTCGTGCGATTTCGGGCGCGCGCGGCAAATTGCGCGGCGAAATTCGCGGTGATTCAAACAACTCCGGCGCCTATCACTGGGGCACAAACATGAAGTAGAGTACTTTAGTAGGTTTGGACAATCCTACTAACCTAGTTT